TTGTTGCTAACTGCGGCTGCCTGAAAAACACATCGGTGGGCTCGATTGGAGAGCGTGGTCACCGTCTGGTTCGTGTTCCTCCGGAGGGAAGGGACACTGCTCCGACCTGGGCAGCTTCGCTCCGAAGCTTCCGCGAGGCTTGGCTCCAGGGGGGTTACCGAGGAATAGCCCCGCTCGGTGAATCCCTCAACGCTGGTGATGGGAGCAGACTGGGGACCGACTCCTCCAATCTACCAGGAAAGAACCGTCTGTGGCCTTGCCCGTCGAACGTCCTGTTGGAACGCGAGGCCGTATGGATCAAGACGGTGAGCCACAGTGGAGCCCAGTGAAAAACAACCTTCCCACCGATCATCCGAACTGGCGGGAAAAGGCGTGGGACGTAGAAAAAAGGGGTCCCTTCATGTCAGCCTCCTCCTGGGTTCCGCCGGGCAACCGTGAGGGCGCTGTCGGCCGGGAGCAGTGTGATCGCCGATGCGAAACGAGGTGGGATGGGGTGAGCATTCACTCAGCCCCCCTCCACCTACACTACGCTCCCCAGGAGGGAATGAGCAGCGGGGGCTGCAGCTGAGCACGCCTTTCCCCGGAGGAACCATCCGGTTCGCCCCGAGGGTCGGCGATAAGAGGAAAAAATACAAGATGGCGTTGTCCAGCGTGTAGTGACCTGTCACTGAGAAATGTTCCCCGACGCTTACCTTGGAATAAGACTGCTTGTCATCTTCTCCTCGGGGAGGAGAACTCACCGGACGACCGGAGGTCGACTGCCGGGCCAAGCATCCTTCACAAAGGTTGGTCATTTACACAATTTATCCTCTTTGTTCTTCTGACAGTGCTATATTAGCTCGCTGAAGAAAAAATGGGAGCCGATTTCCCGCTCTTAACGTAATTTATACGGACCGGGTGGGGCCCACACAGCAGGTGGGCGTGGACTAAATTTTTTCAGTGCTTATGCTCTGCATAACGGGATAAACCCATCAGCGACAGCCTTAAAGGGCGAAGCCTATATGACGTAGAACTAAAACCTTAAGTCTTGTCTGTGTTCAAAAGCAGAAAATTAAGGGTCATCCAGGTTTTTGTCTTTAAGACGTGTTTGTAGACATGTTTCTATTGAGCACAAAAGTTTAGATGAAGCTTCACATCCAAATGAAAAGTGAAAGACTGTGCTTGTTCAAGTTTATTGTATCTTTAATTTATAATCAACAACTCAAAATGCATGTCTTTAGACAGTGAACAGCTCTAAGTCCAGAGAAGACCCACACAAGACCATCTGAGACAACTGACGATCATCAAATGATTTTATGAAACTCAGAGGAGCTGAGTAGGACAAGAAAAGAGCTGGTTGCTGGTATTAAAAAGGCCAAGGCCACATATGCACAGAGGATCGAGGGTCAATTCATCTCACAAGACCCTCGGAGCATGTGGAGGGGCATTAAGTGCATAACAGATTATAAAGGAAGAAGCAAACAATGCCCCAAAGACCCATCTCTGCCTGATGCCTTCAACAAGTTCTATGCACGGTTTGAAGACCTGAACAGACCACCCAGCACCAGACTCACCTCACCACCGAAGAGCATCTCAGCGTGACCTCAGCCGAAGTAAAGAGTACCTTCAGGAGGATTAATCCGCACAAAGCAACTGGCCCAGACAACATCCCCGGAAAAGTGTTGAAGGAATGTGCCGATCAGCTCTGCGAGGTGCTGGCAGACATCTTTAACACCTCACTTACCCTGGAGACAGTTCCCACCTGCCTGAAGACTGCCACCATCATCTCAGTCCCAAAAAGCTCTACAGTGACTGGTCTGAATGACTATCGGCCAGTGGCCCTCACCCGGATAGTTGCTAAATGCTTCGAAAAACTGGTCATGACTCACATCAAAACAACCATCAACATCAACGAGGACCCTCATCAGTATGCATACCGAAAGAACCGATCAACAGAGGATGCCATCTCCTCTGTGGTCCAAACTGCGCTCAACCACCTGGAGCAGAAAAACTCTTACGTCCGTATGCTCTTTGTGGACTTCACATCCGCCTTCAACACCATGATCCCCCAAACCCTGATGGACAAACTATCCACACTAGGACTAAGCCCCTTGATTTGCAACTGGGTACTAGACTTCTTAACAAACAGACCACAGTCAGTGAGGATCCACAACTTTTCCTCCTCCACCATAACCCTCAGCACTGGCTCTCCTCAGGGATGTGTGTTGAGCCCCCTCCTGTTTACTCTGCTCATGTATGATTGTGCAGCTACCCATCCAGGCTGTCACATTCTAAAGTTTGCAGATGATACAGCGGTGGTGGGATGCATCGCAAACAATGATGAGTCCAGCTACAGGCAAGAGGTGGAATGCCTGGAGAGCTGGTGCAAAGAAAATAACCTTCACATCAATGTGAAGAAGACAAAGGAGATGATTGTGGACTTCAGAAGGAACAAAAACATCTACACCCCCCTGAACATAAGAGGATCTGTGGTGGAAGTGGTCTCCAGCTACAAGTACTTGGGTGTACACATGAATGACAACCTCAGCTGGAGCAACAACACCACCAGCCTGATCAAGAAAGCTCATCAGAGACTCTACTTCCTCAGACGGCTGAGACGAGCTGGTCTGGGAAGCTCAGTCCTCACCTCCTTCTCCAGGTGTGCAGTGGAGAGCATCCTGTGCTCCAGCATTAACGTGTGGCATGGAGGCTGCACAGCTGCAGAAAGAAAAGCTTTGCAGAGAGTGGTGAAGGCTGCACAGAAGTCTGTCGGAGTCAGCCTCCCCACACTCACAGACATCTACACCTCCAGATGCAGGAAGAGGGCTACCTGCATCATGAAGGACCTCACTCACCCAGCACACACACTTTTTGCCCCTCTCCCCTCAGGAAGGAGGTTGAGGAGCATTAAGTGTAGAACCACTAGACTGAGGAACAGCTTCTACCCTGAGGCTGTTAGACTCATGGATCTCTAACCAGAATAATCACTGTGAAAAATCACATAATGTTGCTGCTGATCTGTTTCAATGTTGATGTGTTCATGCGTGCACATCCGCTCACACAGACTCATGTTCATGTTTGTGCTGATGTTCAATGTTTTATGTTATGAGTGCTTAGTGTATATTTAGTTGATGTTTTTCTTAGTTCATATCTTCGATGTTATTACTGTTTTTCTTGTACATTTTATTGTTGGATGTAACTGGGACCCTGTGTACATAATTTCGTTCCACCATATGTACCACATGAGGTGCGAATGACAATAAAGAATCTCTGACTCTGACTCTGATTTATTTTGATGATACTATTGTGAAAACACAATCTGCAGATGGGCACCAGCTTACATTTAGTCAAAGACTTTCCTGTTGCAGTTTTTTCCACACATGGGTGTCGCCAGCCTTGATGACTCAAAAAACCTGAATCATGAGGACTCTGGTTGATCTGATGATCTGATTTATTCGGCAAGATTTCTCTCTGACTTTAGAATAGAAATCGTGCTTTCAATTCTTTAAAAAAAAAAGTAAATGTGCTTCACTCCCTCCTTAAAACAAAGTGTTGACCCAAAGCTACGTTTCCATCATTTTAGTTTGAGCTGAATTGATCAACCTCGCAGGCAGATCGTTTTAGGCTTCTAGGGCGGGCTGAAGGCACGCCGATGTGTTAGATTTATAGCACAGGACAAAATGAGAGCGTCACTGCAAAACAAACTGCAGCACAATAATTGCTTCATCACAGTTATATTTTCCTTATAAGAGTTGGCTACTAAACTTGTAATTGAAAATAAAATTTGATTATTTGCACAGCCGCAGCTGCAGCGCTTGTCATACTGATGCAGCTGCACTAAGTCTCAGCAAACGTATATCCAGCTTAAAGAAAATCTGTGACACCAGTTAGGTTTAGCAAATGTGTGTTACTTGAAGAGAACAAAATGTTTAATGTAAGACAAATAATTAGATTAAATTAAGAATGATTTTAAGGAAAACCACAATGTGTAGCATAAATACCACACAATCCCAGATGAGGCAACTGACCTTTATTAAAAGAAAATATGCTATCTGATGTCATGACATGTTTTTTTAGGGACACTGGTGCCGTGCGTTATTGGGTTTACGATGAAACCAGTGCGTTCGTGTGTGATGGGCCACTGTGATCACCGCAGGGAGGAAAAGGTTGTCAGTAACAAGCGAGCCTGACAGCTTAATTACTGACGCAGCTAAAGATTTATTGGTTTATCAATCAGAGCCTCAGGCCCAGCCTTTCCCCTCAGGAGACAGCAGCCATTACTATGAACCCGTTAGCCCATATGACCCAGACTCTTCTTGCCCTTGCCCAGTCACACGGGGGTCATCCTAAACCTCCCATTCCTGTCATACAAGCACAAGCCACAAATATTCATGAAATCTCAGTCTATAAGCATAAGTACACCTGCACAGGAACACAAGCAAAACAGATGGAATGCAAACATAACCATACAGACTAAATGCTGCACAAACACAAAAAACATGCAGAGACTCACACACAACACAGAGCACAAAGGCCAGCATGTGGGCGAGGAATCTTTTATGGTTTGAGACAAAAGCCCAGCAGAAGCAGAGGCACGACCAGAGAGGAAAACGAGAGCCAAGCTGCGGGCACAATGCTGCATATTTGATTTAACCAAAAGGTATTTTCAGACCCACACTGAGAAATTCCAACCATCTGGGCACAATTATCATTTTTCTAAATTAGGATTTAGCTCATTTGCAACGCTGTCGTTGAGTTGTGACACTGACACAAGGAGGGCAAGTGTGAGGGTGATCTATTGGTAGACTGCGTGTTGCTCTGAGGTGGACGCAGAGAGAAGGGACCACCAATCATCCAGGCAGTCAGGCAGGCAGCCAGGTGGCTGGGCAGCCAGCTCGGATAAACACTCCGAGCCTTAGCTGAGAGAGTAGCCTATAGTTGTAGAGAATCTGCTTAGTGAAATGCTGCCCCCATGTGGCGGTGGCTTAGAATGGCATGTGCTCGCCTGGTGAGCGTTATACCTGAAAGAGCCTCCTCCCGGGTCGTTGAGCTTGTTTTTCTGATTTCCAGATATCTGAACAGGCAGACCCATTGGACTTTTGCCTGTTTGTATGAAGGCTCCCTTTCCCATTGTGCCTGTGAAGGAGAAGGGAAAACAAAAGAAGAAAACGTTAAAGATAAAGAAAAGAAGAAATGTTTTCATTGAAGTGTCCCCTTCTATCAGGATCAAATATCCTCCTGTCTCCTGACCACATTCAGCTGTCTCTATTATCCTCATAGGGGAATTTTTTATTTATTAAATTTTTTTTTTTAGGAGGGGGAACAGTACAGTTGCTCTCCCCATGTTGGTTGCAGCGAGCGTCGCTCTGTCAATATCACTACGCTTCACCGGCTCTCCTTACACTCCTAAACCACATCCTGCTCCGAGACACATTTTACGGAGAGGCACAGGGACTGCCAGAGTGAATTTAAACTTGATTTTAACAGGCATGTTCGTAGCCACGAGGCGCAGAAAAGTATTTTTAGAACTATCCCCGCATTCCAATTTATGGGCATAAAACAACTTACAGATCTTTCACTGCAGGCAATCTCGGGGAAGGGGGCAGATCAAATTTGTATGCACCTCCGATTGTAGACACACACGCGCGCGCGCGCGCAAGCACACTTGTGCAAAATCAGGTACAAACACATAGACACATTTTACACACACATACACAGCACATGAGAGCGTGCAGCTCTCTTAAGGGAGAATTATACTCGGTTGGTGTTAGGGCGATATTTGTGGGGCTCTGTGGGAAGAGTGTTTGTGAATCAGTGTGAGTAAGCAGCCACGCAAATGTTTGAGAAGGCTCTATAACCAGACGAGGGGGGAAAAAGAAACACCTGTTTTCTCTATGGCTCCTGCCTGTTTACACATCATCCAGCTGAGGGAACATTTACAGTTTCACTAATCTTGTATTTAGTCTATTTGGCTGGCGTCTTCACTAACAAACATTCCATTAAGAAGCCAGCGTGAAAAATGTAAAAATTTTTAAAGCAGCTTTTATCTTTTGCAAAGAAAATATCTCAGGGTAGTTAGTGCAAACACTTTTTTTTTTCTGGACAGAGAAAAGAAGACTTGAGTAAGGTCAACAAAAATGACAAGAGAAGTTCAAACAATGTCCTACCTTGAGGTCTGATTGACTGCGTGATGACCATGGGCATACGAATTTGACCACCGACGACCCCTCCTGCCTTGACACCCTAAGGGGGGGGGGGGGGGGGTAGAAAAACTTTAGGAAAGAATTTCAATGAAAGAGAATTAAAAAAAGAAAATAAAAGAAAAATAAAAAGTATAAAATTACATGGATGGTAGGTAGAAAAAAAAATTTCTGTCTAAAACTCCAACAAGGGTAAAAAAATAAAACAAGCTGGCTACAAACAATTTAATCTGCAGACTTGTTATTATAGTTATATATATATATATATATATATATATATATATATACAGTATATGCAGCAAAAGAACTGAATAGATGCAGAACAGTCAAAATTCTTACAGTTACACAATTCTGAAAAACAGAGATGAAATAAAGAGAATACATTTATGGTGTGACTTTTATTCATTTGTATCTGCAGATAACAAAAAGTAAAGTGAAGTCAGGACCTCAGTGAAAAAGTAGTTTAGAAGAAGAAATAGCGTCGGAAGTAGAAAAGAAGCGGGAGCAGTGAGGGGGAAATGGGGAGGAGGAGTACTATGCTGGCCTATTAGAGTCACTTCTTTCCCTGGTCGCGGCTACGGGCCGAGCCTCTGGCTCAGCCATCCATTCCTACCAGTTTGCTTCTTGCTGCATATTTTTTAGCCTTGTTTTCCATTCCCTGACACATGCTATATTACTGTTCAAGCTACTGAAAAAAAGACAGAGGCCATTTTTCCCAGAGATCCACTGCAGGGGTCTACAGGAGTGGGAGGGAAGGGGAAAAATACATTCATAATAGGCAGAGATAGCGAGCACCTCTGGCCAGCTGGCGACACAGTTAACAACAGCAGCAACAACAAAAAAGGCTAAGGTAGGAAGTTTGAGAATCATGGGCAGAGGGTATAACACTAAAACTGAGGCCCACATTTTATATTTAAATTGCGTAAATGCTATGGTTGCATGTAAGGAGTGCATTCCTTCATGTGTAATGAAGTGAATGTTTAGACTTTTACCAAATATTTCAATTAAAAAAGAGTTTAAGCATGAGGGTGAGAGATAATTTCCTCTGAGATAACTTTGTTTCTTTGGAGTCATTTGTTTAATATATACTGAGTCCTTGTAAAATGTAGCTACATCTAATAAAAACAGTTTTCAAATATTTCTAAGTGTGACCATTCAAACACATTTGCCTCAACATTAATAACACAAAGCTTAAGAAAACTGCAAAAAACCAAGAGCTACAACCCAAACTTGCTTGTTATAAAGAGTACCATCAAGCTTAGTTTTGTAAAAGGAGCATTTATACAAATCACACATTTTCTGGAACAATGGTTTTTGATAGACAAGACCGAAGTAGAGATGTTTGACCGCTTAGATTGAAAGAATAAATGTTTGTGTTAAGTCAAACACATCACATACAGGACCATTTTGCACAGTGGTGCAAACCATTAGTTGCATCTCAGACTCACGGCTGTAATTCTCAAATGATAAAACGAAACTCATTAACCAGTTTTACAAAACTTGTGTGCTGCCCACAGAGCACTAAACTAAAGCAAATGTTGCTCCCTAAATCACAGTCTGGCTCTGCTGTGTCAACTTCTAGGTGACTGAAAAGTTCACAAGGCGGTTTTGATTTTGTAAAACTTTTGCTCTGTTGTTGAACTGTTACTCTCTCACTGGTACATTTTCATCTTTAAATCACTTCTCAGTCTGTTGCCTTCATACATCTCCTCCTACATGTCTCTGCGTGAGTGCAGCTACAGCGTGCGCTCTCAGGACATTATTACCTGCAGTGTTCCCTCAGTGAGGACTGAACTATGTAAAAGGGCCTTCTCCTACTCCGCTCCTGTTTCCTGGAATATCTTGCAAAAAGATCTGAAGCTCTCGATCTTGACCTCTCTAAGTGGCTTCAAACATCTGCTAAGTTCCTGGCAAGAAACAACGCAGACATGTTCCTGTTTTTAGTATTTACACATGGCTTTATAATGTAGCTGTTTTTGTTTGGTTCTTAATATCATTTTCTTCCATTTATTTTTCAATTAATTTACTTTTTTATAACTGTCTACTGTTGTCATCATTCTTTGTTAAAAACAGGTCTCTCTTGTAAATGAGTCCTCGAGGCTCAATGAGACTAACCTGTAAAAATAAAGGTTGAATGAAAACTGCAGCATGGTATTACCAGCACGACGGTACTTATCTGTGATTGTTTTATTTAATTTTGAGGGAGAAATTGCGCTGCCTGTGTTCCGATCCAAGGGCTACGCTGCACCCTCCTGTTATTTAAAATTAAACAGGAATGGTTCAAACCTCATTCTAACATGGACCCAGCTAACACAATCACAAATAGAAAAAGAGACTTTCATCAGATCTAAGACAAATCTTTGATTTGTTAATTAATTATGATAAATATTGTTGTTGCTGATTGGTTATTCAGTAGTCACTCACTTATCGCGGGGGATATGTTCCCGATACCCCCACGATAGGTGAAAATCCGCAAAATAGGAACATTATAATAATTTTAGTACTTATAAATATTTTAAGGCTTTATAAACCCTTCCCACACTCTTGCAATGTAATAAACAATGTTCTAAACTCTAAATGCTATAAAAGAGCACAGCAAAAGAGAGCAGACAGACTGATGCTAAAGTTACTGAGCCAATCCCAGGACGGACTGGCCATCGGGAGCACCGGGACATTTCTTGGCCTGGCCTGCTCAGGGGATGAACCAAAGGCTCGTTTCAGGTCTCGCTTGATTATTTTAAATTAACAATCCATGCTGCTCACTCTGGTATCACTGAAGCTCCCACAGAAGCGATAGGGAAAAACAGACCCCCCCCACCACCACCACCACCACCTTTCTCTTTCTGAGGCTGTCTTGCACAGAAGAGCAGAGACACACAAGAGGTGTGCCCGTCTGTTGTGTCTCTGCTCTGCTGTGACAGACAGCCTCAGAAAGAGAAAGGAGGGGGCCCGTCAGAGATCACTGAGCGGGCCAGGCCACCGGGAAATGTCACGGTGCTCCCAATGGCCAGTCCACCCCTCAACACAATGCTCTGGTTGGTTGCCTTCCATCAATCCGCCAATCATGTGTAGTGTACAAACTTATGTTGAAAACCTGTGAAAGAGTGAGTAGAGTGAGTCCGCAAAAGTTGAACCGCAAAGTATCGAGGAACTACTGTAACTGTGGAGCTCTGAGTTTTCTTTAAAGCACAGGACTTGAGCTGTGGTTGTGTTGCATTTATTTATTTATTGATCGTGTTCCCTTAAGAGTAAAAAAATTAAATAAAAACATCTTATTCCCTTCATCAATCCTTCCACCCTTAATGTGTTGAGAAACGTAGAATATTCTGACTTCTTGCAATCAAGACAAATGACTCTATATTTCCTACATATAATGCAATCACGGTGTAACATTGCATGTTCTAATATTTTTTTTAAATCCTTAAATAATGTATCTCCAGATTTATTCAATTGCATAGAAGTAAAAAAAAATACAGATTAAAACTTCCAGCCTTGTAAGTTTGGTTTCAGACTGTCAGTGTGCCAGCGGCAGTCATTTACTAACTCGTGTTGGTGTTGTGTGTGTGTGTGAGCGCACAACGAGAAACGGTGAGAAAACTGCGTGTTTTGGACACAGGCTGCAGCCACCGCATTGTTTTAACTGACCTGAGGCTGACCTAGTTACCTCGCTTCACCCTTCAACAGTTAAGGAAGAGGGAGGAAGGTGAGAGGGAGGTTACAGAAAGACAAGACACTGGATTGACACAGGAAGGAAAAAAACGAGAGAAAGAAGACAGAAAGAGAAAAGATGTAGTAACAGAGCAGGATGGAGAAAACCGAGGAGAGAACAGCTAAATGAGAAGATATAATATAGGAATAAAACATCTTATAGGTGGCCCATCTCTTCCACTTGGACCAGTCCAGTCTGAGTATAACCTTATTTAACCTACCAGTACTCTATCTGCAGTCTGTGCCTCATAGACCACATGGGCTTCATTATATAAATAAACAAGCACAGACTTTACCTCCCTCTGTAATGTGCTGCAGGTGTGTGTTAAAAGAAGCCACTTGTTTCAAGTGTTGTACTCTGCAGGTTTTACTATAAGCTGAATAAACAGCTCATAACTAACAGGTGTGTACAAAAACACGAAGAGTCACTAAAAGAACAGGTAGAGCAGCATAGATACTATTGCATCATTATTGCTGTAATGTCACAGGATTCACATACAACAAGGAGGAACCAAAACCTCAGCTCACTACGTTTTTGTAAACATACAAATACAGAATCCTTCACATTTACAGTTCTGGAAAATTGCTTTACTTTATGTGAATCTTACTGTCAGAAAATGCAAAAAGACCATTTATGAGCAATATGGGTGTCAACATAAAGGTTGGTGTTGATTGCAACAAATTACAATCTTTTTTTTCTATTTATCTTGAAATTATTTCCACGGCATCACATCCAAACACGGGTGTTGTAGCTCAGTGGCTTAGGTCGGTTGTTGGAGCTGGGACCTTAATGTGACTCTTTGGGATCATGGGATGGTCTACAGAAATTTAAATAAATTATACAAGACCTGCCAATATTTAACTTTTACTGTAACTGTTTCAATAGATAAAAATCTTTTTTTTACCTAAGGGTAGAAGTCATCTTAATGGTGTTAATGGTACCATTATGCTCCTGTTTAATTGGCCTGAAAGCTTTAACAAAAACTCTTTAAGTTGCAAGTTAGCCACAGTTATTTTGTGAGTCATAATTTGACAAGTTTGGAAATCAATGACTTGGGCGCCCTTGACAAGACTGATATGTTCCACTTGTTCTTAGTATTGCTGTCTTCCTACATAACCAACTTGTAAAAGAGCATTGTGAAAAATATTCTGTGAGCCTGTAAGACAGTCTGACGTCTGTTTGTTTAGTACGCCTTAGCACTTGTAAAATAAATGCCAATTTTACCTGCAATAAAGAGGTAGACTTGGACTTGATATTACCAAACATGATCATTTCTATCACATTAATGAAAAGAAAAACAGACTTATTTGTAAATGATTTAACTTTTAAAAGCAGCCATGGTCTTGAGATTCTATTATAGAGATTAGCATAACTCGCATTACATTTGCAATCGATTAAACATTTCCAGCTTTTCTCTCACGGTCATCTCAAGTTTAATCTCTGCCAGTGTTTGTTAAATCTGGTAACTCTAACCCTGGGAAAAACTTTGCAGCAGTTTCCAAGTAAATACATGTTCCAGCGTAGCCATTCCTGCCCTCATCAATCAGCTGTGGCAACAGATCACACGCCCATAATCAGAAGTAGAGAAGTGAGCTTCAGAAACAATGAGAAAAGCATTAATAAATCAAAGTAAATAAAACATTACTCTGATTGTTTTAGGATTATTATGTTCCAAGACACAAAAAACATATATGGTATTTGAAAATGTACTGTTTATGCAGCTGAGGCAAGTATTCTGATTGAGTTTTCCTGCAGGAAGTTGTGCAGCAGTTCCAACTTAACAGAAAAATGTTTTACACTTCAGCTGACGTAATATTCTTTATCTGTCCTTTACTTTACATCTCAGTGGATCTGCAAAATAAATCCAAGGCTGAAACAATCTTTAGCTCTATCTAAAACGCTCATGGGGCATTTAAATGCTGCTGATCTCATGCTGCTGATTATCTCATGCTGCTGATATCCATGTTGCTGATCTCATGCTGCTGATTATCTTATGCTGCTGTATTCATTCATACCCATCTGCTCACCAGACTCATGTTCAGGCTGCTGTTGTTATGTCGTTTTGTTTTACATTATTAGTGTTTAGTGTATATCTTAAGATATTTTAGCGTACCGTTTGGCGTTTGTTTCAGCGTATATCTTAGTGTATATCTTGGATCCTTATTTACTGTTTCTTTTTATACTTTATATTTTGCTATTTTTTGGGTGTAACTGGGACCATGTGTACATAATTTTGTTCCATCTCAAGTTTAATGACAATAAAGTTTACTTGAACTTGAAATGCCAAGTACTTTTAGTAAAAAAAAATAAAAAAAATAAAGAAATCATGTTCAAGATAACCAGCGCTAACAAGTCCCACTCTGCAAGCTGGTGAGATTTACTCCTTTGACATATAAAAATTGAAACTTGTGTCTGCATTCATGCTTTTGAGACTACAAAGAACTAGTACAATTTAAAGATGCAAATGGCAACCCTGTCCGCTAACAGCACGTGGACATGTAACGATAAAAACAGAGTGGTTGTGGGTCAAGTGGAGAGGATGCCTTCTGATCAGAATATCGGTGTTTGGATCAGAAGACACTTGTAAAGCAAACAAGGTCTGAGAAACTTCCAAATTGAACCTGACTGACAGCTTTGATAATGCACATTGGTGACTGTTCAAGTACAAATACATAATAAGAGCACCGTTATTGAGCATGTGAGAATGAGAAATCCATTGCAAGATGTCTGTCAAACTTTGTTAAACTAAGCAGTGTAGAGTTAAAAAATGCTTCAGTCCTGTTCTCCAAAGACATGTATTCTTTTATCTACATTGATGTCATTAACACCCACCACCATGAAAGTTGGGCAGTCATGTAATTGCCTGCGTTGATGTGTACGTGTTTGCTTTTCTGCCTGTCTGTTAGCAGAATATCTCATGAACTGCTGGATCAATATCCTGATGCATGCTCAATAATCCAGGTAGAAAAATCCAAAAAAAGTTCAATCTGGTCCTCTGGACATTCAAAAAAAACAAAAAACAAAACAAAGCAAAAAAATGTTGCTGGATCAATCTTAATTAAACTTGCAAAAAGTCATTATTGGATGTACATCTACATTACTGTGCCCTTTTATGAATGAGTGTCTGTTCATTTAACGTCTTCTGTTTCCAGAGCTGGTTAGCTAGAGAGACTTTAAAAGAAACAAGCTCCGCCCACTGGAAGAGAGGCTGAAGGCTTGCGTTTAGCTTGTTGGCTAACCCCAGTTAGCTTGTTGGCATCTCCATGCTTACTCCTGCTCCTTCTGTAAACTAAAAACACTAAGCTCATGCCATGTAAAACTTGTTAATCATAGTTTTTTATTAATTATTAGTTGGGGTTTGGAGATACGGGCAGTCCTGTTTTTAAGTTTTTGGTTTAGATTTAAGTTGGGGGTTATAGGTTTGGGAAAGCGGTCCAAACTCACTGGTCAGCTGCTTGGCTGGTTCAAAACTTGCTCCCGCTTTTGTTTGTTTTGGCTGGGGCTCCCACCTCCCTTGACTGTGTTTAGGAAAATTGATTTTATCTATAAAAAAAATTAAATGTTGCAATTGTCTGGATGCCATGCGTTGTGTTCTTTGAGCCATTTGAGACTCACAGATCATAACAACTGATAACTGATTAACGATTGAAGATTACCCAACTAAAAATGGCAGCCATTGAGATTTAACTTGAGTAAACACAAAAATGGGTACAACTCAGGCAACTTTACAGAAACTGAGTTACAATTTGGCATGGTAGTAGCTGAGAGTCATTCCCCACACATTTTCTGAGCTTTAACAAATCACGCAACAAATCTGTTTAAAACCTTAACACGCACAGCAGCGGGTGATGTGCATATGTTCATGGTTTGCTGCTTTTTGAATAAAATTGGGTAGTGTTATTTTTACTTGAGTACAGTTCTTCTAAACTTCATAATAATGCTCAGTGAATGGAGTGTGGATCCTTAGTGAATCTGTGAGCTGATTGTAAATTTAACTCACGGTTAGGTGTGTGACTTCAAGTCATGACACTGTAGAACTCACCACGCACAACAATCCAGCATTGTTCATCAACATGCGTTCAGCATTTCAGAGCAATACAGAATATTATTGTGTGTCAACCTCTTTTAACCGTTTTATATTAACTGTGAGTCGTTGTGGGCTTCAATTCTTTTTAAAATGGAGCTTTAAACATGGCCGTCATATCAACCTGGTCTAATATGTACATACCATGGCAGCTGTATGTCCAAGCGTCCCAGCAGGCAGTGCTGTGGCACTCACAGTGGTGCTGATACTGTTAGGGTGCCGTATGCGGACAGCTGGCCCGGTCACGATGGCAGGAGGAGTGCCGCAGGCTGCTGGTTTGACTCCCTGCTGCAGGGGCTGGGTCAGGGAATGCTGACTGTTCAACAAAGACAGCCTGAGAGCCGGGAGACTTTTCTGTGGGAGAGAGGTCAAGATTCAGAGTAAAAACAAACAGACATATAGAAGAAAGCGCCAAGCACAGCTGTAATCACAAACATAACTGCAGAATCCACTGGTTAATTTGACTGATCATCACAACAAATATAAATAAAACCATGTCCACACCTGTTTGTGCATTTGTCCCCAAATGATTCATGAATGGATTGTAAAAATATTTTTAATTTACTTTGTGGGCACTAAGATGCAGCTTTCTAATTATGGACTGCATTCAGTTTTACTATAGTATATTTATAACAGCCAATTTATTTTCATTTAGACCTGAAAATCTAATTTCATTCCATTCAGACTATTTCTGGGACATTTTAGAAGTAAGCAACATAAGAATGCAAGACAACTTGTGTTTTTAACTAAGTTAGGGGGTAATTTAGAGTAAGGTTTAGGCAGATATTAAGGAAATACTTTTAAGGGTCAAATTCAAAAGCAGGTAATGAATCTAGTAAACTGACTTCTAGGGCCCCATTGTTTTTATTTTATGAAGGAGACAAGTTCGTTGTTGAGGCTGTTTCGCAACACACCTCAGTCCGTGACTTAAATACCTTCTGGCCGCCTCAGCGCGATTTCTAAATGGACAAAGGAGCAAGGAGGATTGAAGTCAATCCACCTTTGATGCATCTTTATGCCTCAAAGTGAGGTAGTAACAGAGCCAAAACAGTTGACGTGTGAAAAAGTAAGCCAGTGCTGAGTTCAATGATGTGATGAAGTGGTGACATATGATCTGTGCAACCACCCAGTCACAGGCTTAAACAACACTACAGGAATTTATTACCAAGGGAATAGATGATGGCACAGCAACTTTGTATTTAGTGAACCACAAAAAGGAATGCTAAAGTGAGATATTTCATCATATTTTGAAACAATAGAAGGGAGATGTCCATCACACATTTAATGCATTGCATTCCATGCCAGCACAGCTGAGTTCTGGTCCATGCCTCTTTTGGTTCTGTGATGCTTGCTTCTGTACGGCCATTTTACAGGACTGATTTTATGAAAGAACCTTTAGATTACCAGAACAGAGAGCCAACATTTGGAATTGATCAAAGAAAGTTTAGTCATGAGAATGTCTCTGAATGAAGCATTGTCGCTCTTGGTGTAAGAAGCACTTTCATAGTTGATCCCGCTTTAACAGCAAATTATAAAGAAATTCAGAAGCAAGAACTTCACCTTGAGAAATGGGACCAGGTATGGTTGCGGAGACGATTTGAGCTCAGTTTGCAGGCGACTGGTGAACTCCTCCGGTTCAATCTTGGCATCCTGTCAAGAAAGAAAAAGAAGAAATAATGACTGCATGATACAGCATGGTGACCAGAACAAAACATGATGAAATCCCCTCAGCCGCTGAGATGCTAATCCATTGGAATCCCAATCTTGGGACTTCAGAGTGCACCTTAATGTGTATCTGTGTATAAACTGATAAATTATGTTGTTCCTCTTCTTTTTCTCCTTTCTTTTCTTTCAGCTGCTCCCCTCTTCGAGACAGTGTGCGAGCTCACATGAAAAGTTTAGCAGTGGTTTTACACCGTATGGCATACGGTGTCCAAACGTTTTCATAGGTGGGCCAGAACTGTATAGATCAGGGGTCTGCAACCTGTGGCTCTGGGGCCACATGTGGCTCTTTGGTACCTCTGTAGCGGCTCTTTCAGGCTTTGACCAAAACTAAAATAAAACTGAATTTTATTTAAATTATTACCAACAATGAAAATGGTTAGTTTTATTAGATTTCCTGTCATTTTCAAATATGTGTAGTATAGTACAAATACAAGGCATAAAACATCTGGACTGCATCATGCTAGTAGTTTGTTAGCCACTTTGTTAACTTCCAGTCTCTCAGCGTGATCTGTCTCACCAAAACACCAGAAAGTTTTGGAATATCTTTAAGACAAGTTGCTTATAAGGAACATGGTGAGTAACTTTGATAACAGAGAATAAAACACAAAAAACAAAGCCAAAGTAAATGAATGTATTTATTTTTCTTGAAAAATGTAACTGGATATCCAACAAACTGACCTAATTGTATACTGTCTTTAACTTTATACTTTAAGTAGGATACTTAATTCTTCAACAATTAAGAGAACTCACATCGGCTTGCAGAGTTCAGGGCTTTAATTTTTATAAAATTATTAAAAATATATTTTTTTTGACTGGACTGCCCAAAAGGGTTATTGAAGTTCTGAAAAACTGTTCAGCTGTCAGTCGCGAAGGTTTGAAGGGACACTGATGAAGTTGATCAACTTGTATGTTGATGATACCACTTTATATTATTTTTAAAATGTCCAATTTCTCCCCATTTATTTAATCAGCTGAAATTATTTTCTTCAAAAACACTTGTTATATTTAGCCAAGTTTTATGAATTATTATCACAAATTCTACCTTTTGGTAAGTCAGTGAAGGTTTGTTGTAGGATAAAGGGATTAATTATAGCTAAATGTTTATATTGTACTTCATTTCACTCATTTTGAGATAATTACTTTAATCTGTTTTGCTGTTAAACCTACAAATTTAAAACCTATCACCTTTAAATCTAAAGAAGGTACATCTGCATCAACCTCTTAAGCCTGTGGGGTCAAAATTCTACCTTTCTTTAATTGCAATCATAGGCCGCACAAAATCACTCCAAGGGCCACAAATGGCCCTCGGGCCACACTTTGGACACCCCTGCCCTTCGTGACAAGACCAGGGCTCAAACCTGCAGCCTCAGGTTGAAAAAAACTCTAGCACTGACCATGAAGTTACCACAGCACTATAAACTGAAAAAAATATTTAAAAAATAAACATTTTGGAAAAGCCCAAGCTGAAAACAGCACCTCAGACTGAGGAAGTCTCTTGGATGAGAGACGAAACGTTTCTATATTTTTTTTGCTTTGTTTTGTTTTTGTTTGTTTTTTTGAATGTCCAGAGGACCAGATTGAACTTTTTTGGATTTTTCTACCTGGATTATTGAGCATGCATCAGGATATTTTGGAAAAGGTTTTATGCTGCCATCTACAGGTTGGAAAAAAACTCTATTTATTGGAAAAACACAACGGAGATCAAAGTTGACTTCCTCCAAAATGTGAACTTTCTGTCAAACCTTAAATTATTGAAATCAGTTCAATAATTCTGGCATTTTGTCGTTGCTTTAAGAAAAAGATGCATATGATCGTACCAAAGCAGGTCTTTGTGAAAATATCATGTGACTAAACATCTGTACCAACTACAGTACATTTCACACCTGTGAGATATTTGCTGGATATGAACGATGCGTTTCTGTTTAGTTGTTGAAAACTCACCAGCAGGTCTTGAACCAGAGCCTTAACGTTCTTGGACGTCTCGGGGGAGGGAGAGTTGTGAGATGCCAGTTTGATAAGTGTGGCGAGGAAATTCTTACACTTCTTCACATTCTCTTGCATTTCCTGTGAAATACAATCATCATAGTTTTACCATCTTTTAGCAGGTAAAAAGTGAGCGTAAGCCACCAATAAACAAGACAAACATGTTGTTTCAGTTGACAGTGACTTGAGTATCATTGACCAGTATAGATCCATTTGAGTGTGTAACATTGTGGAAATCCACATGCTATTTATTGAACAATCGAGTTTAAGATGAGTTTTTGCCTCTACGTGTGTCCTTGGGTATCCACCAGTGTGAAAGCAAGAGTGTGATTATGTATGGGCATGTGTGAGACTCTTTGTCCATGCCCAGTTGTGACGTAGTGAAACTGTGGTTTCGGGGGGGGCTGAACTTTTGAAATAGCCGGCCTCCTGGCAGCTGATCCCTTCAGGGTGAAGGCGACGGTGGAGGAAAAGTGGCGGGTTGGTGAAGGGAACAAACCTGGGACACGACTGAAGCTCCAGGGGCCGCTGTGACGCTCGTCGGTGCCGGCTGCACTGGCTGAGAGGTAGACTGGGCAGGGCCCTGGGGAGCCATAACCACTGGGGTCTGCTGTGGAGCCGTCACTGCCACAGTCGGTGCCATGGGGCCCTTCTGGAAGAGCAAGGAAGAGACAGAGAGATAAACAGGACATGACGCTCCGCTCGCAGCAAGGCCACAGAGAACAGGAGGCAGGCGCCACAGCGCTCCTGTCACATGCGCTCTCTTGACTTCAGTGGACATCTCTTAACAGACAAGGAGGCAGAGGAGGAAGAGGCTGGGAAACACAGGAGCCCATTAAAGCTATAGTCACTTGCCTGGAAGCCAAAGCTTTATCTTCCAACAAATATTTGTATCAGGTAATTCAAAACGTTGTCTAGTTTTGCTGATAACATGTGCATAGGTGAATGACAAGAAAATAAACATTTTCTGCTCGTCGTACGAGTTGCCATCAGCAGTTTCTCACGTTAACGCCGTCATCACCTCTTTTAAGTCTCTTGGGGTCTGTCCATTTTGGTAATGAAATAGATTTAACAACATAGTGTTATATGTGGACAGGTGTGAATGCAAACAAAAACCAAGGCCACAGAAATGTCTGAGCCCTCAGATCACATCTAGACGGAGGCCACATTAACATCATGTGATGTAGACCTGTATGCAGAAACATGCACGGTCTTTTGTTGTATTTTCTAATTAGTAAAGATATTTTTAAAATAAACTGAACCACAATTAAAACTGGATTTGTGGTAAGTTGTGTTTCTGTCTTAATAGAGAGCACCAATTGTTTCAACAAGAATAAAAGCTTGGATAACTGAGAGCCATGACCCCGGAATAATGAGGTAGTTGCTCAGTGTAAATGTTAGTGCACCATATTACTGTTTCATCAGCTTTCAAAGCTAAACTTCAACTATGCATGTAAAGAATGCCATCTCACAGGGCGAAGTGCAGGACAGGAGGAGGAGGAGGAAGAAGAGGAAGAGGTCTGGAGGGCAGGGCTGGAAGGAGTGGGAGAGGGAGACGGTGCCATCTTGGCCGGGGTCAAAGAACACTGCCTGGTGGTGTGAGAGGTCACAGGACACTGCAGTAAAGACAGAGAGCAACAGGATAAGAAAAGTGCGGCGGCGTGCCTTGCAGACATATGGAAAGATCACGACAGCAAGACAGAAGAAGAATGCATGAGGTGGTGAAAGCTGAAGGAAAGTATGGATGGTCCAGTAGCAGAGGGTCATGGTGCTTTATATAACACCAGAAAACAGACCTACAGTACATGTTCACACAATAAATACTAACTAGAAGAATTGTGTCTTTTGTTATATATATATATGTATATA